CAACCCCCACCCCATCCTCCCCCCCGGAAACGCAGACGGCCTGCTGGCCGGAAGTTGGGCCGGGCCGCGGGGCCTTCTGGGAGGTGCGGTGCTCCGAGACGTCGCGGACGTGCTTCTGCGTGACCTCCGAATGTCGGGTGCTTGTCTGCCGGTCGCCTTCGCCCAGGCTCTCAAAAACCGAGGGTTGGGTGCGCATTCGTACGTTTCGGGCAGGTCCGCGCTGCGGCTTTCCGGCAGCGGGAGGTGAGGCAGCGGCTTGAGCTCTCTGGACTACACGGTCCGGGCGGCCAGTCAAACTGGGCGGAGCCTCTTACAGGCCCGGAGTGACCGCAGTAGCGGCAGTCGGAGTTCCCGGGGTGCGAGTACGCTACGGGTTAGTAGTTGGAGTTATTAAAGCAAAAAACTGTGATGGGAGTGTGTGTGTGTGTGTGTGTGTGTGTGTGTGTGTGCGCGCGCGCTTGCTTGCTTGCTTGCTTGCTTGTGTGTGTGCGACTGGAGGTTGTGTGAATGTGATCGCATGAGTAATTGTGGTGGGATGATTGTGACATGTATGTTTGTGTCATGGTGGTGTTTGTGATTGTGATTATGATGAATTGAGTGGTGTGTGTGATTGTGATTAAAGGTGTGGTGTGAGTATGGCGAAGTGTGCCTGATTGTGATAGGTATAGTGGTTCTTGTCTTCCTTAAGTTGACTTCTCTTTAGCATTTGGCGTGGTTGGCAACAGCTTGGAAAAAAAAGAAAACAGTTCTGTATTTATTGTCTAATGGTCTTTCCTCTCCATTGGCCACTTCTTCTTAGTAGCCTCCTTCGTTGCCTTTTTTTCCTAATCGTTCTTGGCACTGTTTTGTCGCTTTCCAGTTTTCCTTGGTAATCTTTTCCAGGTTCGTTTTTTGTCACTTCTTGTCACTTCTTACTGTGTGATGGAGATGCAAAGATTACTCAGAGCCCAAATATTAAGAGCAATGAGAAGCCAGAAAGGACTGCACTGAGAAAACTCCCTAAAGAAGGGAGAAACAAGGCACAGCCCCGAGTTGTTATTTCCTTCAGTTTTTATTGTAGAGACAAGGAAATACAAGAGAAAAAACAACTTTATCATTTATCAAAGGAATGGAGAGAAATTGACTATGGGGCAATCTCTGGAAAACATCTTGAGAAACAAAGGAAAGGGAGTGAAGTTGGATAAGAAATGACCTTAATGTTTTTATCTAATCTAGCAGAAATTATTTGCTGTTTCCAGCATGAGCTGTTTTCAGCACTTAGGTTCTGCATAAGTGCGTTTAGGACTTTTGCCCTTTGTGCACCCCTTGTTCTTTGTCAAACCTGTGTGCTCCCACATATCCCGCTTTTTTGTTTAATCAAATTCTAAATTGATGGAGGTGTTTGAGGAAGGTTCAGGAAGAGAGCAATAAGGAGTCTTGAAGTAGGGTCAGCATGGCTTCTGCATGGAGAGTTCTTTGGAAGAGGGTGCATAGCACCTTCAGCACTGCAAGAAAACACAGTAAAAATAATATTCCAATACCAGCAATAATCCATATTCTCACATTGAGTTCTGAAAACCAATTAGTAGGATTGAGCCAATGAGCCAAGTCAATTAAATGATTAATTGTTGCCTTTGAGCCTCTTCTTGGAGTTGAATAATCTGTTTTTGGAGTTTAGTTTTAAGGTTGTTCATATCTCCATGTAAATCAGAATGAAAAGCTCCATGTAACAATTTTTGGATGTCTTCCCAAGAAGTAGAGGTGTTGAAAGGAATAGAAGTTACACACATGGAGCAATATCCCGCATCACAGTTAAGTTGATTTTATGTCCAGAGTGCTTGTTGTTCACCAAGCCAGGATACTGCTGCTTTTAAAACATCAAGTCTCTAAAATTTCATGGTCAATTTTTGTTTATGCGAGAAGTTCAGAAGTTACATTTTGAAGGTACCCATTCATTTTATGAGCCATTTGGATAGAGTGAGATAAAGCAACTATAGCAGTTGCAGTTGCTGCTGTGGCAGCCATGCCAGTAGTTGCTATAATAGAAGCAACAAGAACACCAAGAAACTGTTTAGTACAAACTTGCAGTAACGCAGAAGTTATCTGTTCCAGTGCAGAACTTCCCATTCATTCATGAGTAAGATTAATTGGCAACCATGCTTCTGCTCTTTATTTTAATATAAACACATGAGAAATACTAAGATTAGAGATATTAAAGTGCATAATGCAAGGAGTAAACCAAGTAGAATTGGCGGGGAGAGTAATAGTGAATCCTTGAATATAAGACCCTTTAGTAGAAGTAAAATTAGTGATTGAAATAACAGGTACTTGGGCCGGCCCCGTGGCGCACTTGGGAGAGTGCGGCGCTTGGGAGCACAGTGGCGCTCCCGCCGTGGGTTTGGATCCTATATAGGGATGGCTGGTGCGCTCACTGGCTGAGCTCGGTGCTGAGCTCGGTGCGGACGACACCAAGCCAAGGGTTGCGATCCCCTTACCGGTCACAAAAAGACAAACAAACAAACAACAAAAAAGAAATAACAGGTACTTGAGAGGAAATTGCGAATGTATATGGTTGAGAGGTGCAGATCATAACTGAGTCAATGGTATCATTAGTTATCCAATGTAATTTCTCATTTCTTTGAAATTCCCCTTGCTGGATAATATGAGGGAAAAATGGAGTGGCTAAATGCCAAATAGATTTTTTTATGGGAATATAATTTTGATTATAGTGCACCCTCAAAAGAAGACCCACCAAACCAGGATTCCTTTGAGATGAGAATAATTAAAAGTAAGAGTATAATTCTGGGTGGTATTAGAATCCAGTATTAATAAATCACATGTACTCCAATTTTAAGTCCGATTACCATATAATTTATTTTCTGTAAAATTATTTGAATGGCATGAGACCCAAATAGATCCAGACCATCTCCAGGAGCAATCCAGGGGTGAGAAGAAACAGGAATATTGAGTTTAGGATGATTGTTTCCCCATTTAGAATTTCCACCGACTCCTGCTGTTTGAATAAATTTTTGATGTTTCACAGCTATAATACAATTAAAGCTGTAAAAATATGATTCATATACCATTGTTATTGAAACGGAATGCAAAAGTTGCTAGCAATAAAATTAGTCATTACACATAAAGGCAATTCCTCAACAAGGAAATACCAATTATGAAAAAGTTTGTGCCATCCA